CACAACATTCCTCCAAATTTTTCAAACAGGAAGGAATGAAAACAGATAAAATCTTTAATAGAATGTTATGTAGCCATTAAGTCATGTTTCCAAAAAGTTCTATCATTTTATTTTCTGATTACAAACAGAAGATAGTACAATGTTCAATTACAGAGTATTTAATGTAGAAACTACAAGCCATACCCATTGATCAAATTTGTTGCTATACTAAACCTTCCAACATCCATATATAGAGTAGCATCTCATTTTTACCCAAATGAGATCACATTAGGAGTTCTGCATGAGTGTGCTTTTTATTTTTTATTTTTTTAAGTAAACTTTCCGCCCAATGTGGGGCTCGAATTCACAACCCCAAGATCAAAAGTCACATGCTCTACCCACTGAGCCAGCCAGATGCCCCTTATGTGTGCACTGTAAAACCTAGTAATTTATGATGGTTATCTTTCTCTACTAGTACATACAGATCTACATCATTCTAAAGGCCACAAAGTATTCCATTCTACAGAAACATTGGTTTATTTAAACTTGATGGAAACCACTGACATAAAAAAACTTTTGAAGCGTGAAATTAAAATAAGGTATAAAATTGTACAGCACACGTGGCATTTATATGTATGCAAAAAAAAAAAACGATGAAAATGTCCACACAAAGGAATATAATACAGTTTTTAGACAGCAAAGCTATAGGTGGCAATGTATTTATATGGAAATTCTTGTAGATACTGTTAAAACAGCTACAAACTGGTACGTGTATACACACAAAGAAACACACCCATGTAAATGGAGACTGAAAGTGGTGGACACATTCTATGATCTCTCCAGATGGCGTATCACCCACTCCCCCCAACCACTGTCTCACATCCTACGAACTGCACTCTTGTAGCTTGAGTTTGAAACCTTAATGAATTGGGAATGATCTCACTTGTGTTAAAATAAAAGCACACACTAAAACAAACAACTACATGGATATTTAAACATATTGAAGTATGTATAAATTAAACCAGAAGAAAACTTCCATATAAAACTTATATAAAGACTTCATTAACTGGGGAAAATAAAAAAAAATAGTAGTAAAAGATACTTCCATTTCTTTTTGTATTTTAGTTTAAATGTTATCCTAGGTTCACAACTGAAAAAAATTTTTTGAATATAAAATTTGGAAGTAAATTCAATTGCTGTTTGTCTTGCCTTTTCCTTTCTGCTTGTTACTGTTTATCAGCACTCCCTCTGCTGTGGTGGTCCTCAGGACATGGCCCCTACTTACTCTGACACTTCATTTCCCCCTCAGGCCACCTCACATTGCTCCCACGGAGTCCCCTACTCACTATCTGTATACCACCCTCAAGCCCATGCACCACTTGATGGCACTCCACATGCATGCCCTCCCCTCTGTCCTACAGTTCAAACTAAATTCTGGCCACATGGCACAGCCGTCACCTTCATTTTCCGACTTGGAGGAGGACCCTCACACAGCCCTGGTTACTGAAGCTTCTGCATTTCCCTCTGCTTTCTGGAGTAGTACGTGGGTTAAGCAGTAGCCAAGGGCAGGGTCTTAAAAGGTCTACCACATTTGGCAGACGGAGCAAAGGTGGAGACACAAAGGGACCAGGCCTGACTCTGGTCCTAGGGGCCAAGCACCAATTCCAAAAGGAGGGAAAGAGAGGGAACAGATGATGGAAACCAGTCTCACTCTCCACCCTGGGTGGAAGGGTTTACAGATTTCTAGCTGTTCTTTAACCTCCAAATATCTGTTCTTACACACGCCAGACATCTAACCAGGAAATGTTACATACCTTATAAGCATTTCACGTGGAGTAATTTCAGACATGAGCTTGACCACCTAAAACCACAGGACAGTGGTGCTGCCAGGACAACAGTGTTGCCATTGTGGTTTATACGGAAGTTTTAGTGCTAGCAAAGCACTTTACTTCTCCATTTCATGAATAGAAAACAAAAATATGGGTCTCACAATTAACGTAACTGAAACAAAGATGGAATTCATCAGGAATCCCTGCTATAAGTTGGTGTCTTTGGCCTCAATCAAAGGATGAATGGGTCAAGTGTTCAACTGAACTGGGAAGAACTCAATTAAAGAACACATATCAGAGACTGGGAAACGTGACTGGGACGTGTAAGGAGAGATAAAGAAATCCTGTGACCCCACTGTTCGACTTCAGGTTCCCCAATCCCATCAGTTGAGACAGAAGCTCCATGAGAGCTTCTTCAACCCCATCTCTACTTACTTACTTTGGTCCCTCATCACGGTGCACCTAGATTCAGCCCCCTCACTCATTCTACCTACCTCATCCAAGGGGGCTGGAATTGAGAACTTTAAAGTCAGGAAGCGAGGAAGTTACTTTCTTCGTTTCTCAGGGACAGCATGGTGTGCGGTCTCCTCTCTCTTCTCGTTTGCTCCATTCTCCTGCCTCTTTCTGCAGACCGACATTCTCTACTTCAGCATGCACATGGGTAAATGCTGCCCCCGTCCCAGTCCTACCTCACCTCCCGGTGAAGTGCCCAGTGCCGACAGACTAAGCAACCCAAGCTCTCCGAACCTGCAAGTGCACACCACGGCTCAAGGTCTTCTAGGGTAGTGGTTCTCAAACTTGGGGGTGCCAAAAGCCATCTGAGGTACTTATGAAATATGTACCTGCTTTTCCAGGTGTGATGATTTAGGAGGCCTGTGGTTCTCTAGGAAAGAGGCATTCAAATAAGCACTCCAGGAGCTATACTTTGAGAACGACTGCTCTAGGCTTAGGTGTCCGGTCTTGTCCAACTGACCATGAACAGAAGCATACGGACAACAGGGGCTGCTGGGGGACCAATTTTACATGGGAGTATCAGGAAAGAGTAAATAACTACTCTCCCTACCACACTGGCTGTGATCTCCACCCTTTGGCTCCTCTCAGGTAATCTCCACATCACCCTGGGCTTACCTCTCTCACATAAGCTCAGCACTTACCACACTGCTGCCAAATTTCCTTGTTGTTGTCCATTCTTGTGGGGTTTCCCAAAAAATTTCAGAAGAGAGGAAGGAGTATCTAAGAGTTTAGTTTAATGATCAGATCCCAAATAGTTCAAGATGAATAAAGCTACTTTAAAGAGAATGTCTTCTGAGCCAGTATGACTTATCTGACCATATTTTAATGTCAATAATTAGCTGATCAGATTTTTTTTTCCCCAAAAAGAGTAAGGGCATGGAAAGGCAGGCCACAAAAAGCATGGTTCATCTAACCATGTACAGGAAAGGGCTACTCTAGTCAGATCTAATTTGAATGGAAATTGGGGAGGAAGGGGAGTGTAGACAGGGGGCTTCTGGTGTCCTATTAACCCTACCAAGAGCTTCACTGTAACCAGATGGTGGCACCAGGCTACCTTACAGGCCAGTGCTATTAAACCTTGTCTGTATCCTCTCATTTTGATTCCATACTCACCAAGCAACCTTCTCATTATGGTTTCGTTTCCCATGTAGGTCTGCCTACAGGGAGAGAATCTGCTGATCATACATACTTTTGAGTATTTGGGTCCCTGCTGTAGTTATCTCCCACCATAAATTGATAAACCAAAATTGAGAAAACAGGAACATTGTACTTTAGCCACACTATTTTTCAACATAAACTAATATGTCAGTAGGGTTTCTATAAGTCTTCTGAGCTTCAGTTATGTGTACCTACTAACATGAGTCCTTAGCTGAAATAAGGTTTCTGAGTCTCCACAGGCTTTAGCACCAGACCACTGGATACTTGGAGCATTCACTGAGGCCAGGAATAAACCAATCCATTCCCAGGGGCCCACCTGGGACAGCATGTGAGCCTTTCTCCAGATGGTAATACACCATCAGCATAGCCACCTATCTTGAGTTCTCATTCAGCAGATACTGAAGCCAGTGATTATGTTACCCACTTCCAGAGACACAAAGTCTAGCATGGTCCTGTCCCAGACAGGGCATAGTGTCCACGTTTGCTGATGGAATGAATAACTTTTGCTATTTTTCTCACTTCCTCACATAATGTGACTTGCTGCACCTTATCTGAAACAGTCAGCAAGCCATGAAAGAAGAGTACAGGTCTTACTGAGTCTCTTAGTACCTCTCTCAAATCCATCCACTTCACTCATCCCCCTGCTCTGACCTGAATCCAAGCCATCATCTCTCACGCAGACCTGAGGTGGTCTCCCTGCAACCAGTTTCCACCCTCCCCTTCTGAACCCCACAACCAGATGGTATGTTTAAATCACAAATATGACACCCATGTTACTTTCGTGACTAAAACATCTCAATGGTTTCCCCCATTATGCTTCATATCAAGCCCTTATACTTACCACTGCCTGCAAAGCCTTTCACAACACAGCTCCAATTGACCTTTAAAATCCCCACCTTGCTCAAATGCCACTCAATTCTTCCTTTGCTCCAGGTATCCTAGGCTTTTGGCTCTTATCTCTGGATCCCTCAGGAATGCCCCTGTCCCCTCTGCTTAGGACTACTCTTCCCAAAACACACTACCATCCTCCTCTCTTCAGGACTCAGCCTTAACCTCAATGACCTTCTCAGGAAGGCCCTATGTGGCCTTTTTCAAGTTAACTGTTGTTCATAGTGAATATTCTCTGTCAAAAACATGAATGATACAATTATTTTTTTCAATGTTTTCATTACCCAATAGACTATGAGCTCCAGGAAAACACTTCGTTTCCCACTCAGGGCCACGTCTGATAGATGAACCGATGAATCTCTCATGCTTCTTTAATCACCCAACAAGAGAGAAAGAGTAGGCCTGAAGGTGCAGCTGAGTGTTGGAAAAAGAAGTAGAAAACTGAAAAGGACAGCATGAGGCCAAGGAGAATTTCTGGCGAACACACAATTCACCAGAGAGTGAGTTTTCAGAGCAGAAACGGCACTTGCATGGCTATATGGAACACATATGCAATAGAAAAGTGTCCGCATGAGGAAGAATGTATTCACTCCAAGGATGAGGGCAGCACTGTGAGAAGGGAATTCAGCTCACCTGGACCTGGCCACCTAGTGGTTGGACCTAGTCCCTCTTGCTCTTGCCAGCTGTCTCTGAGAAGGGTAGAAGCTCGAGAAGGCAAAGCTGGAGAAGGAAAAGAAAACATGAGACACCAAATTTACTTTGTATATACATTCCTCAGGCTGAAAACGACTGCATAACAGGTGCATCTCCACTTCCTCCAGTGACAGAGGTCAAACCAGCCCAGGAAGAAGAGCTCTCCCTCCCAGGATGGAGGGGCCCATGGGCATTGCTCCCTGAGGCACCTGTTGTACCTTGGACTGTAATCACAGCCTTCTCCCAATGAGGTTACGTCAGTGGGTGTGCAAGTCAATTTTTTACTATCTCAGAACCTTTTCTAACAAGCAGAGAAAAATAGTAAAGACACGGGACTTTGGATTAAGAAATCAATTCAAGAATCCAACTTCCCACTTATTAGCTATGTGACATTGGTTGTCCCTCTAAAAGCAAAGGATGCATGTTGTAGGGAAAAACTGGGAGGAAAAAATAGCTATAAAGTAGTACCACTATTTACTAATTTTATGCCCCATATAGTGCTTAACACCTTACTTTTATTGTCTCTGTCACTCCTCACCACAACACTATTAATTCTCTAGTTCCCACTTTACAGAAAAGCAGATGTTCAGAGAACTCAATCTCAGACCTCATGGCAGACTATTATAGATCACTGTAATGTCATTTTGAAAAACAGGACATCTACTGACATTTTCCATGAAGAACACATGGAATAACAATATGTGCCCCTTAGAAAAGTGAATTAAAACTCCAGTTTTTCCATTTAGTAGCCAGTGATGCAGGGCCAGAAATTTAACTCTACTGTAAATTTAAGTAATATGAAGAGATTAACTGATATTTGGGCCTTAGTACTACTATTATTAAGTAGTAACATCATTCATTAACCTTATATAACATTTTAGAAATGATCAACATGCTCCCAGTGGATTAATACTTCCTATTTCGAGTCCCACTGTGCCTCAGAGCATGCATTCAGTCAGTCAGCAGCACCCGGGGGAAGTAACTTCACGATTACAGCTCTACTATATATTAAAACATTGTTCACCAGTGGATGTACATTCTTAATTTTCTCTCACCACCTGGTTGGGAAGGAAGAATCCAACGTGTTACCTTCCCTACTACCTCAAAAAAAAAAAAAAGGTGGGGACTTACAAGCTCCTCTGTTGGAGCTAGGGCTACAAGGAGCCTCCCTGCAGTCCAGGGTTTACTTCAAGAAACATGGTGAAAGCTAATTCAGTGTTGGAAGCATCTCTGTCCTCCAGAGGACGCTGTGACAGTGCCACAAGGAGTTCTGCGCACGCGCGGCGCCACCTCACCTCTCCAAGCAGTAGGCCCCGCCCTTCCAGCTCTCCAACGCCCTCCGCCCCGAAACCACGCCCGGACTTGCCTAGAGAGCCTCCTCTCCATAATCTCCCACACCACGCCCCTCTTCTAATGGCCTGTAGCTCTGAATTGTCTAGTTCACAGGCTTTTAGACCTTTTTCTTTGCATCAACTCCATAGTGCCCTCAGAGCCTCCGAACCCCAAGCCGTACGTCCACAGCCTGCCTCCTCCGTTTTCTTGAGACCCGGCCCTTTCCCAAACCTATTAAAATATCTAAATCCGAACCCCAGTTTTTCAGACTGACCCTCAGAGCTGTACAGGCGAGCCCTGCCCCCACATTCCCCCGAGAGCTGGCTTTGGTGCCCTTCCACGGAAACGCTGAGCCTGCTGCCATGCTGCGTGGCCACTGCGGCAAACCCTCTGGGGCTGCCAAACTGGCGCCTGCCCGGCAACCCTCAGTCTCCTCTTGGCCCCGAAGGTAGGCAGGGCTCCACAGGTGCCCTTAGTCCCTCAAGACACGGCGACGCCACCCTCAGGCCCACCCTGCAACGCCACGGTCATTCATGAGCGCACCTGCGCAGTTGGCCTCGGCAGCCACCTACTGGCCAGCAAACCTGCCGCTAGGGAGGGTATGGGTCTGCGGACCCTGCCTGTCCTTCAGGACAAGACAGCCTCTCCCTCAGGGCCACCCTCCCCCGCAGCTCTGGCATCCTTCACGATGGTGCCTGTGCAGCAAGCCTCAGCGGACCACCCCAGGCCAACGTACCCAGCCACCCAATGGATAGGAGTCTAGCTTCCCGTCAGTCACTCCAAACATGAAAGCCCTCCCTTGGGTGTGCTCCCAGCAATAAAATCACTGACGGTGACATCCGCGCAGCAAGCTTTAGCTGTCACCTGTTGATCAAGATTCCACTCGAGGGGGTGGGGCCCCACAGGCCCTCCCCTTGGGCCCGCCCCCGCGGCCAGCCCCACTGTCACTCAAGATGGCGCCTGCGCAGTAAGTCTCGGCTGCCGCCTGTCGGCCAAGAGTGCTAAAGCCAGCCGAGCTCTGCAGCCCCTCCCCTTGGATCCGCCTCCCATGGCCAGCCCCACCATCACTCAAGATGGGGCCTGCGCGGTCTCGGGTGCCACCTGTCGGCCA